TTTTTTGAGTAGTATTAAATGCGGGAAGCACTTTTTCAAAATTTGTCACATGAAACGAATGTGAAAAATGTAAAGTGAGAATGACAAAAATTTAGTTGCTATCAGTTTTTGCTATCACTTTTTTGCACTTTTTTAGTAATGGCAGTTACGAGCAGTAATTTTAACAGGTGAATGTAAAAAGAGTGATAGCTTATAGGCATCAAATCGTGTAAAGACAAATGATTAAGTTTTTTCTTTCAAACATTATTTTCTATTCGCCTTGTCGCCACTAGTCGTCTCTTTTACCGGTTTTTGAAAATCAGGGCCAAATATCGCATTTGTACGAATGGATTTTTTTTTTTTTTTTTAGTGTTAAACATCTTAGATTCTGCACAGATGAATTTGTTTCGAATCGGAAAAAAGGTATGCTTTTTGAAAACATTATTTCTTTATTTTTATCTTTTTCCCTATCGCTTTCCTTCATTTTTTGGCATTTGATTGTGAGAAAAATTGAGCTTTGCTTTTTTTTTTGAATCTCAAAATTGCTATGAAAATTTATTTTTATACCACTGGTAGACTATTGATAGTAAATTGCTAAATCCTGAATTAATTTGACGGCAATGGTGATAAAAAAGTTAAGTTAATTCCTCTTTTTAAAGATGAGCTACGGGATATTTGTTGATTGATATGATCAGTTGTTAGCACTTAGCGCCTCTGTATAGGTTGGTTTTTTTAGTTCACACAGCAGTAGGATGAAAAAACAAAAATTTTTAAAAAATTATTGGCTATTTAGTTAATCCTTAACTTTTTCACCTATTATTTAGAGGTTGCCTGTAGAAGCGCACTCGTCGTATTCCATTTACAGTAATATTTACATTTCCATATGATTTTCTTTGATCTATTCTTAGAAGAAGAATTTTTTTCTACAAAGCTGCTTTCTTTCTCCCACGACATTTGTTCAGGCATTAATTGTTACCACGCTCAGTTGATGGCCTCTCATCCATTCAAAGGTGTTATATTGCCTTTACATTGTTTCTGGTTATTTTCACTTCTTATTTATGTATAGAATTGATGGGTTTGATCAACGGTTATTGTTTTGTCTTTCCTTTCTTGAGGTTCTGATGTACTTGACAAGTTTCAATTGTCAGAATTTAAGTTGTTGCCAGAAACATTTAAAACTGCTTGTCTAAACTGACGGATAACTGTCTTTCCTTTTGAGTTACGACGTCATCATTGTCTTGTTATTTGTCCATGATACCCCCGTATCATTCATTGTAGCACATCTTACACTAAATTCTTCCGACTGTTAATCGTTCTACGGTTATAAATCTACTGATTAGCTTTTACAGCAGTCCCAGTCAATAATGGATCCTTGACGAAGTCCAGTTTTATATTTTTGGTCAAATTTTTGCTTATCAAAGCAAATTGTTGATTCTCTTTCTGTTTTGAATTAGCCATCGTTTACAACTTTAAGCGTTCCCCTATTTGAAAGACTAACATTTTTGCCATGTAGCTATTACTGGAATAATATGGCAACCCAATGTTTATATACCTTTTGGTTTTTCTTCTGTTTAGACAGATCGACTCGTTCTGGCTTTTCGGTTCTTTAAAGGAATGGCTGCTGGCCTTGTAAAAATTTCACAGCTCCCATGCGTGTCCAAAAGACTAAAAGTTGCCACAGAAAGAGTAGGAAATACTGAACGCGAGAAACTAGTGAAGCACGTGTGGAGACATGCAGATGCTGTATGTTTCGACGTCGACTCTACTGTGTGCCAGGTAACCGAAGATGGCAAAAGTATTTTTACTATCTTCAGAAATGTTGGACAACAGCTTTTTTTAGGATGAGGCGATCGACGAGCTGGCCATTTTCCTCGGTGTTGCCGAAGATGTAAAACTGTTAACCAAAAGGGCTATGAACGGTTCAATAACTTTTAAAGAGGCACTCAGTTGCAGATTAGAAATAATGAAACCTTCTATACATCAGCTGGAAGGATTTATTAAAAGTCATCCCCCAAGACTCACTGATGGTATCGTTGAACTAGTTGAAGAGTTGAATAGACGAAAAGTGGATGTCTATCTTGTAAGTTTAAAGATTCCTTAACTATTTCGTTTTAAGTCTTCTACATTGGTATTTTTGAGAACTTATTTGTGACTGTGATTAACTTAACTTCTAATAGTCATTTTTTGAAATCCTCTCAGAATTCTCTGGTGAAAATTACACTTCTAGGTCAGTGGAGGTTTCCGCCAACTTGTTCTGCCCGTGGCAAGACTGTTAAACATACCAATTACAAATATTTTTGCTAACGAAATATTTTTTGACACTAAAGGTAATTATGCCGGTTTCGATACTAATAAACTTACTAGCGATTCTGGGTCAAAAAATGTCGGGAAAGCAGGCGTTTGCGGACTCCTTAAACAAAGGTTCTTAAATCCTTCTTTGAAAATTTATCCTGTTGGACCTTAGAATCTACTGAACCTAACTAGGTTTCTTGAAACAAGTGACTCCCGCCCAACAATCGTATATGGTTTACAGATACAGCTACAAAAACCTCGTAATGGTAGGTGACGGAGCAACAGATATGGAAGCATGTCCACCTGCCGATGCGTTCATAGGGTTTGCTGGCAATCAGGTTAACCTTTACTCATTTCCATTGAAAAAATCTGTAACGATAACTCCAGCAACACATTCTGTCCGTGTTGTCCATCCCAGCTGTTTAGTAACAACTTCAACTTCGGGCAGTACTGTAAGACTGTTTCAGCTTCGAGAGGCAGTCTATCGAGGCTGCGGATGGTTAGTTTACGATTTCGATACGCTCAGAAAGCAGCTGCTATAATCCATCTTAGTTGGACCGATGACGCCTGACCAATATACCACTATGACTAAGATGCTCATCACTGGTCTCTGGTTCCGCTTAAAATTAATTTCTCAAAATATTTGTATATGACAGGACAGTGTGGTATAAAAAAGTGAAGCAAACTACTGTCTTATGGAAATACAGAGGAAAAAGTCGGGTAAATACTGTATCCTCTCTGTTTATATGTGCAGAATTTCCGTAAAAAGTCATAAAAAGCTGGTTTTATCGCTCTGGCACATCTTGCTATCATCACTCTATTTCTTAGTAATTTTTTTAATGTACCTCAAGGAAATTTTTGGGCGATTTTTAAACTCGAATTAATAAAACTTATTTTATAAAGAGCTAGTAATACTGGAAATTTGTTTGAAAAGTTCCCTTTTGACACTGTCTGTTTTGTCTGGTCGCAACCGCACAACTTTCATCCTTTCGTAATATGCTCCTCCAACGAAGTCATCGCTCAACGCTGTACGGAGCACCTCTTTCGCCGCAGTGGTAGCAGGCATAAAAAGAAATTTAAGGTTTGTAACTGAAGCGCCATGTAAGAATTTATGGTTGTTATTGGATTAAAGGATTGTTGCAGAGTGTTCCAACGGTACCTCGAAATTTGGGCTAAGACCATGTTAATAAAGAGCCTTGCTGGTAACCATGCGTGTCTATAAAGGTTTCCTGGAACACAGCCTGGATGAAGAGAGCAGACACGCGCTATTGTTTTAGTATTATTTTTCTTCGCTTCTTCAAGTAAAAATCTAAAGAAATGGTTTGGATGAAGTATAAAAGTGCTTCTAATCACAACTTTTTAAAATTACATGAGGAAAGTAGTTTTTAAATCACTCAGGAATGCCTGCACTTTTGAACACTGCTTACTTGTCCAGCTGCTCGGCATAGTAAGATAGCACAAGTTTTGACTTGGCGTAGGCATAATAGCCGTTAACGTACTCTCTGAATGTTTCGCCTAAAGTTTAATGACTGTAAAGGACAAAAAATTCATTTCTGATCACAATTTAATGACATAATTCGCCTGTAGCTTGGTCAGTACTCCCCAAGTGCATAATTTTGATTTTTCATTAATAAAACCAGAGGTGAAGGGTCAAAGGAGGGTGATTGGGAATATTTTCACCTGTACGGATCCCGATGGGTTGAAGGTGACCAGCGAATGCAGTGCAGGACGATACAAAAACGACTCGACAAAGACCATCAGCCGTTTTCAAAACAGGCTTCAAAGTTTCTATCAAAGCAGCATGTCCCAATACATGCAAGGCAATATGAGGTTCATATCTCATTTTTTTTGGCTACAACAATATTTCCTTTCAAACAAATAAGCGTTTCTGATAAGCGCTTAATAAACGAAATTAACGAGCACAAAAGAATAGTCTATTTAAAGTGATACGAAAACAAATTTGTTCATTTATCAAGTGCCTGTTGTGCCACCTGAGAATTCCGCGACATGTTGCATTTTAGAAACCGTATGGAATTACTCGAAGAAAAAAACTAACTTCATTCGGAACCAGCATAATACCAGCGTTACAAATTATCAAATTCACTTTGCGAACATTT